GGAGTAATACTGATGCTTCCTGCCGAGTTTGGATGGGGAAGTGCCCGTGAAGCGCTTCGCAGGGCGCCTGCACTGTATGTGCTCGCTACTTCCTCGCTGTTGCTTTTGTTTGCGGGATGTTTCCACCTTGTTGCTGGTACCTCCACGGGGAGCAGGTGTGGGTGCCTTCAGCCTCGCTGGTGCCCCGTGTTATGGGGCTAGCTGCCGTCTGTCCCGTGGAGGGGATCCTGCATTCCCCATAAACCTCAAAGCCCGCTCTCCCTCGTTTCTGATGAATAATTCATTGTCTTCCCTTGGCTTCCTGGGCTCGTTGGAAGTAAATGTCAGGGAGATTGACTGTCAGGCCCAACAGTGTTAGAGTTTCGGGATTTGCCTAAATCCTCGAGTTGGTGTGACTGGATTGAGCTGCAGAGTGAGGATGCTGGCTTTATCCCTGGTCTCCAGCATCATGAAATGTGGATGCCCCTAAATCCGTGTTGGCTTTCTTGGTGTGTGAGAAACTTCAAAGTGAAGAAATCACGGGAGGAGTGCTGTAAGGAAAAGAGCAGGTGTGCAGTCAGGAATCACATGGTGTGGCGGGCGACCGGTTGGGAAGGTAATAGTTGCTTCAGGGAGATCGTCCAAGTCAAGAGTTTTAATGAGGATGGCCATAATAATAAGCAGTTGCCATTTATTGATCACCTTCTAAGTACTATGCTCAGCATTTTAATGGATGGCTTTTAATGATAGGGACTATAAAACAGACAGCTCTGTGTTTCTTTTTCATACGAGAGACGGCAGCTCACGGGGGGCGGATTTAACTCGGGACGTCTGGTCTCCTGGTCTTGCAGCTGGTGTTCTCTGCACTGCAGTACTGCCTCTTTCCACGTGTCCAGAGCCGACCTGAGGGCCACATGGCCCAGCGGGAAGAGCCGGGCAGGGGAGAGGGAAACCCGGATCCTGGCTCTGTGAGCTCAGCAGTAGCTTCTGGAAAACATGCCAACCCTTTTGAACCTTCGAGTCCCTTATTTCCTTTCCTGTTGAGGAAATTACATTTGCAGCATCCATCTCTGAAGGTTCTTATGGGGGCAAAATGAGATAAGAACTGGGAAAGGGCCTTGCGCACTTCAGGGATGTACAAATGAAGGGCTTATGTTATTAGATTTTTAGTCACCTGGAGCTATTTTTTTCATGGTGCTCATGTTGTCTTTTGATTGAATTAAAAAACCTTTGGCTGATTCTTCATGTCCCTTGCCAGTTTTGGCCTTGGATCTGCAAGGACTATTCTCTGACTGTGAGGAAGTTGTCCCCAAACTATGGCGTCGGGGCAGGGCTCAAAGGTTGCGTGGTGGCTCGCCTCTTTCTTCCTTTTGGAAACTGTGGACGCAGGAAATGGCTTCTTTTCCTGCCATCAAACCACGTGTATTTACTTACTAAATGTCTCCTGCATCTCCAGCTCTGTTTGCCATCCTTGGGCTCTGGGAATTCACCCTCAGGGTGTGTAACAGGTGGGGAAAGAGGGCCTTGTGGAGGAGGACCTGATGGTTTGAAGGGGGGCCTGGGGTCTGACTGGGGTGCAGGAGGTGGGCATAGACGGTGGGGAGCAGTACAGGTACATAAAAAGACTGGGATTATCTGTGCGAATTTAGGGAGGTCTGGAACATTGCTGAGCATTTGAGAGCACAGCTGTGCATGCGTGTGCATGTTGAGCCATGTGAGGAAGGACCTAGAAAGCCGGGTCTGAATGTTGTGAACGATGGAATGTTCTAGAGCGAGGTAGTGAGACACGAGGAGGACCAGAGCAGGAGGCTGTGGTCTGGGGGCCATGTGTAGGGATCTGGGTGGCAAAGAACGGAGAGGGGGTTTAGTGGGCAGATGTCTTTAGGACAAATCAGAGTTCCCGGACAGACGGAACCAGGGAATTCACGGAGGAGGAAGGGGAACGGAAGGCAAGCCCATTCCAGGGTTTTGATTGAGAGGTTACAAGATTTCCCTTGCCCAGTTCCAGAATCCTCAGCAGTTCTGTGAAATGTTTGTGTTTGTAGTTGACGGCAGCAACTCGTTTTCCGCGCTTTTAAATTATTCCAAGGTCATTTACGAATATTTCATTTTTCGCTAACTAATTGATCTTGAGCATCTGCATTATGGATGTAGCAAGATGTAAGATTAGTTTTGTCACTGTCGTGTTAGAGAATTTCCAAAGCTTTCAGGGCTGATTTTGTGTTTCTTCCTTGACAGCCAGATTGCGCACGGCTCGCCAGTTTAACGTACCTGCCCGCTGTGCAGGATACCAGGTTAGGTGCTGGGCGTAACAGAGAGTCAGGACTAGGGCTCTGCCTGCAGGGTGTCTCCCGTCTGCGGGGAGAGAGACTCACTGCGGCAGAGTCGCGCACCCTCTGGCACATCTCCGAGGAGAGAACACTGGGTGTCTTGCTGTGTGTGCTGAACCCCAGGTTCGGGGCACAGTTGACCGCAAGACTGCTGACCCCAGCCACAAGCTTGGGAGTCCCCGGGGCCACCCTTACTCGAAGCAGCTAGCTGCAAATTTGGGGGACCCCAATGACTCCCTCCAGTTCTGTAATTTGCTAGAATGATTCACAGAACTCAGAAAAGCACTATACTTACGATTACCATTTTATACAAAAAGTGGAGAGGTCAGAACCGGCCAGAGGGAGAGATGCATGGGTCAAGTCTGGGATTGGGAGGGTTCTAGATGTGGAGCTTTTGGTCTCTTTCTCCCTCCGTGGAGTCCTGGATGCTCTTGCCTTCTTCCTGATATATTATGTGACAGGACTCGAGTATTCCCAATCAGGGATGCTCACCCCAGCCTTCGGTGTCCAGCTCGATGACACACTGCCCACAGGGCTGGCCTTTAGTCCCTCGCTCCTCCCGTGGGTTCAGATGAATACCTCTGTTCTCTGGTTCCTCCAGAGGTCAGAACTGCTCTGACTTGTCGAAGAGCCCCGTCATAAATCACGTTGTTCGACTGTCGGTGGACCCAGCCCCCACGCAAACAGGCATTCCTATCAGGCAGGACCTTCTGGGGCCCTAGAGGTCACCCCTGGTAGCTGAGGGCAGAGGCCAGACCGCTCTGGGTAAGGTTCCTCCTTCACCACACCTGCATCCTTGGAGCCTTTCAGAGGAGGAAGGCTGATCTGCCCAGTAGGATGCAGAGGCCTTCTCGGAAGTTGGGCCCGGGCCACGGACTTCCATAACCTGTTTCTGCAGCTCAGCCGACGTGACGTGCGGCAGGTGTCTGAGGGCCTCACCACTGATTCTGCTCCTCCGCTCCTCATTGCTGCTTCAGTAATTTGCGCAAGTACATGCCGTTGCTGCTTCAGTAATTTGCGCAAGTACATGCCGTTGTGCAGAGTAACAGGAGAGAAGTCTCAATGACTGTGAGGTCAGCCGTTTGTCCTTACTCTGTACATTCCTCTCCTTGCCATCCGCCCCAGCCTCCCGTAGCTGTCGGCTGGGCCTTGGGTCTACACAGCTGTTGTTTTCTCCTGTAAAATCTGGTGCAGGCAGTGGGATCCAAGAGTCTTGTGCCCTTGTTCGTCTCATCTGGTCTCTTCTGCCTTCCTGTTGTTAAGTACCTTTCCCTCCCCTGTTCCCACACCCCATCTCCAGCACGCCCCTCGACAGAGCGGGGAGCCAGTCACTGCACTGTGCTGGCTGCCCTGGCACAGGAGGGCTCTGGTTTGGCTCTCTCGGTCATTGTTGACCACCCCCCCCTTGGCCCTGCACCTCTGCAGGAACTCTGCCCCTGCAAGCCCCCCACCTCTTCCCCCATTCTGGTGCATGATCTCCCTGAGTTCTTGGGGACCCCGCATCAAAGCAGGCTCCTTTGTCCAGACCCCACATTGTCACGCCACTCTTTCCCTTCAGACTCTGCTCCAGAACCTTCCTGCCTTCCTCTCTCCTCTGGTCTCCCTGTCTGATTTGGGAGCACAACGATCTACTGAAAGGGTCCTCATGGGAGTAGCAGTGGGCAGCGTGCATGATGCTTTCCTGTGCGGACCGGTAGCCTTAGAGAGAGCAGGGAGGAGCCCTGAAGACATCATCATTCTGTATGTGACCATTTTCCCAGGATGGTGCTGGAACCCAAGACCCCTTCTTCTCCTCTGCTGCTCAGATTTGGAGGACTGCTGAAATGCGGTACCTCAGCAGACAGGCCGCTAACACGGGCTATCAGCCAGACGGTGCTGGCTTTCTCCTTGCAGTGTCTTGGGGTACCTGTCAGGTCACGTCATCTGAGACCACGCCACTCCACCTTCACACACACAACAGCACGATGCTCCCCAACCCTGCTCACCCGTCTTAATTCCCACCTTCATTCTGGAGATGAATGCTTTAAAAATGAGTGCTAATTAAGAAGAAATACAAGTTGAAAAATGATTTGAAACTTGCTTTAGAGCAGCTCTGAGCACGCCGTTGAACTCACTAGGCCACTAGGAAACTCGAAAAATACTGCTACTGTCTTTAGTCCTATAATTGGTAGACTTAGATTGTAATTATTTTTTCTCTGTTTTATCAGAACTATTTGGCTGTAATAATTATGATGCCTTGAAATAATCTGAATAGTTGTGTAGCTCATTAAGAGCATGAAAAGCGAAGCAGCCCTTTGCGAATCCTTTGTGAAGAAGTCCTTAAGCACTTTCTGAGAACGGGGTGTAAGTGGAGTCAGTGGTTCACTAGGGGTCTGATTTGTGAACCCGGGGGCTGCCGGTCACAGTTTAGAATCATCCCCACTTTATGAGAGAAGATGTGCAAGGGTTCTTATCAAACGGGTATTTTTAAATCAGCATATTAGGAAATCGGTAACATGATAGCATGTAGATGCAGCAACACGAGCACTAAAGATACTGCTTGTAGCTGTTAATTTCTGCAACTGCTTCAGACTTTCCGTTTTTCATAAAATGTGAAACTGAACACATTCGCACATTTGGAAGTTGGGCGCGTGCCCGGCACTGTCGCCGCGTGTAACTACCCCGTGCCCTCTTGTTTCCTTGGTAGAGTTTTCTGTCATGAAGAGGAAGAGAGGCAGGCCCAAGGGCTCCACGAAGAAGCCCAGCCCCGAGGAGGAGCTGCTGGTAGAAAGTGCCGTGGGTCCGAGCGAGGACAGCCTGCTGGCCCCCGAGGAGGGCAGCGGCCTGGCTCCCAGCAGCTTGGAATGCAGCAAGTGCTGTCGAAAGTTCTCCAACCCGCGCCAGCTGAGGAAGCACATCTGCATCATCGTGCTGAATTTGGACGAGGAGGAGGGAGAAGCAGGTATGATGCCTGAGGGCCGAGTGCGTCCGTTTCCTAGGAAGACACGTAAGTACCGACGGCAGGCTTTGCTGGGTCAGTTACTATGGGGAAAGAGAGCATTGTTACACAAGTCTCACCTCTCTGGAAAAGTTCCTCATTTTGACCGTAAGTCATCTCTGAATTGAGGGTGTCGTGTGATAGGTGGTGCCCACAGAGCGTGAGTCACGGGAGTGCCGCTGTGGGCCTCTGGGGTTTGCAGAGAGGGTGAGACGTGAGCTTACGTTCTGGGGGGGACAGGAGGGTTGGACAGCACAGAATGTGAGCAGGGAATAAGCCCTCGGCAATGGGGAGTCAGGAGGGAACCTGGTGTCGCGGTTCGGGTGGCCCTGGGATTAGCAGAGGGAGGACGTCTCCGTGGGCGGACGGGGCTGTGTGAGCACAAGTGCGGACGTTAGGATGCTCAGCGCCCCCATGAGGGACCTTGATGAGCCAGCGGAGGCTGAGGGCTAGGTTGTGGCGGGCATCCTGGAAGCAAATGGAATATTGGTGCTTCTTCCACATATGATCCTGGCTAGGCTTCAGCTCTGCAGCCGCTTCTAAAAGAGGCTGAAGGGGGTGCACAGGTGAGCGGGGAGTGACGTCACCGTGGCAGAGCGCGTCTCCTGGGCGACCTTCTTGGGGGAATAAAGTAGCACCACTGTCCTGGAGAGGGGAGGGCCTCTGCTGTGGGCTCTGCTGTCGTCTGGTTCTCGTGCCACTGGTGAAGTGCTCAGACGGCCCGACAGTTGAAGTTCTTACTGTGCTTTGTGCTGGGCTCAGGACGTCACGTGGGAGACCGTTCTGGTTAAAACACAGGCTTTGGGATATGGCTTCCTGGGTTTGAATTGCAGCTGCTCCAGCCGTTACCAGCTTCCTTCTGCCTCCGTTTCCTCATCTGTAAAATGGGAATAAAACCCAGCACTATCTCATCTGGTTGCTTTGAGGATTAAATAAGGCAGGACTTATAAAGTGCTCAGAAGGGCACCTGCGTATGAAAAGCACTCAACAAATCAGTGTTAGCTGTCACTTTCCTCGCAGCGGTATGGAAACAGTACTGTTGTCCTCCTTCCGGTTTTATAGATAAGGATAGTTAGACCCTGGGAAGTCAGGTCATTAGTCCAGGGTCCTTCAGTTAGCAAGGGGACCTAGCCTTTGAACCTCCATTCTCAAGTTCTTTACGATAAATACCTCCCAGCGGTGAAGCAAGACCATTGGTGTGCAAAATCCTCGCACAGATTGGGGGGATAATTGAGCAACTCATCACCTGATACTTACCAGACATCTAGGTTGGTGGCCAAGGCTCATTGCCAACATCTGTGCAAACTGTAGAAAATATGAAATGTTGTTCTTTCCTTTGAAGAACTGCTCTCAAGGTGACTACGTGAACCCTTTCTAGGCTGCATGGGCGAATGCGCATCGTGGACGAGCATTCAGACGAGAGAAGTCAGCGAGAAGGCAGCTGTCCCATGGCAGAGCGTGAGTCATTGCTGTGTGAGACACGTAGGTAGGGAGTGCCGTGGCCTCAGAGCCCGATGCCCTTTTGGCAAATTAAGATACTTTTAAAAGTGAGATGGTTGAGGGAAGAAGGACTAGGACATACCTCCCTGCCCCTAAAGTGCTAATTTCTGGTGGATGTGTCAACCACTGGCTCTAGATTATGGAGTTGCCCCCCACGCCAGGCACACCCCCTACTCTCTTCTTCTCACGCAGATAGTTAATGGTGGTTGCATTTTGTTTGTTTATTAAGTTTTTTACTTTAATCCCAGTATAGTTAACAGTGTGATATTAGTTTCAGATGTGCAATACAGTGATTCAGCAAATCCATACCTCACCCGGTGCTCATCACAAGTGCCTTCCTTCATCCCCATCACCTAGTTCCCCTATCCCCCATCCACCTCCCCTCTGGTCACCATCACTGTGTTCTCTAGAGTTAAGGGTCTGCTTCTGTTTGTTTTTTCTCTTTTTTCCCCTTTGTTTTGTGTCTTAAGTTCCACATGCGAGTGAGATCATATGGTGTTTGTCTTTCTCAGACTTAACTTCACTTAGCATAATACTCTGTAGCTCCATCCATGTCATTGCAAATGGCAGGAGTTTGTTCTTTTTGATGGCTGAGTAATATTCCATTGTATACATAGACCACCCCTTCTTTATCCGGTCATCTGTCCATGGACGATTGGGTTGATTCCGTAGTTTGGCTATTGTAAATAATGCTGCTGTAAACATAGGGCTGCATGTATCCCTTTGAATTAGTGTTTTTGTATTTTTTGAGTAAATACCCAGCAGTGTGATTACCAGATCATAGGGTAGTTCTATTTTTTAACTTTTTGAGGAACCTCCGTGCTGTTTTCCAGAGCGGCTGCACCAGCTGCATTCCCCGTGGTGGTTGCATTTTAATCAGAGGCGCCAGCTGTAGCCTTCAGAGCTGCTCCGTGTGTACCTGCCTGAGTCCCGAGAATCCGAATTATCCTGCTCATTCAGTGCTGTCTTCTTGCGGATCTGTTTTGTTTTTGTGCCTTCACATGATTTATCCCATCAGACTCCCTGTGGGAGACTCCTGGGCTTTTTTACAGTTACGGTTGGAAATCAGGGATCTCTTTTGCAAAACATTCCCGCTGCTTCTTCCTCCAGAGGTCAGACCTGGATCTAACTTGGATGCAGCCTGAGACGTTCACTCAGATCTATGGATGTTCTGCACTGCCCTCAGGGTTTTCTTCCTGAAACAAAGTTTTTCAGTGTCTCCCCTTCAGAGTAAAGTACAAAGTCTGCTCCTGGGCATTCAAGACTCTCAACAAAAGGATCTTTCCATTTAGCTCTATGGCATTATTTTTCTGTCTTACTGTTTGCAGTTGATGAAATTTAAGTTATTTCCAGTCTTTTGCTGTTGTGAGTATTGCTTTAATAAATGCTTCTGTATGCATATATGTGTGTATGTGTGTGTGTGTGTGTGGGTGTGTATACATACCCACGTACATGTGTATTTGTAGACTTCCACTGTTATTTTTGTAGAAGTAACTCCCAGAAGTATAACCCCTGGGTCAGAAAGTATATTACATAATGTCAAGTTTCCCCCACCCTGAAAGCTCAAGCCAATTCAGATTCCAAAAGTGTCTGAGAGTGCCTATTGGATATTGACATTTTTTTTCTTTTTAATACCTGAGATGATACAGAAAATACTAAGAAGAAAGTAACAATAATCCAGAATCTCACTGCCTAGGTGTATCGACTCACTGTATAAGAAAGAAGAAAGAGCCTGCTCAGTTCTATGTACATGTATGTTTTTTAGAAATGGGGTCATGCATCATGTTCTGTGATCTTGTTTCACTCACTAATGTGGCCGATAAAGTTTTCATGTCAGTATTTTTTATTTAACAAGCTGTTCCATCGCACTTTCTGGATATCACCATCTTACGGCTGTTAGCTCATTTAAGTCACAGCAATAGTGACTGAGTGCTGTATGTAGCTATGCAGCTCTAAGAAGTAGACACTGGTGTTTTCCCACTTTACAGAAGAGGAAACTGAGGCACAGAGAGGTTCAGGAGCTTGCTGAGATCACACAGCCTGTAAGCAGTGGGGCTGGGTTCTGAACCTACTGCAGTTCAGCAGCTGTGCTCTGCTTCCTGACCCCAAACAATCAGTAAATGTAGATTATTGTCATTTTTAAAGGCCACCCTGCATTTCACCATATGCACAGGCCGTGCATTTTCCTTCATCAGTTTCCAGTCGATTGACATTCACGATTGCTTTTAATTTTTCTCCCTGATACAAAAAAAAAAAACAAAAAAACACAAACCACCTCTCAGGTGACTGGTCTTAAGCCTGCATTTTAATTTTATTATTATATTTACGCTCATGCTATTATTATTTTAGGTAAATACCTAGTCATGTAATTGCTGGGCTGATAAGAGCATATATTATATTTTGACACGCCCGCACGTTTCCAGGCTGCCTGCAGACAGCATCTGTCGGTTACTTCCCCGACACCGGCTCCTACCTGCCCTGGTCCTCTTCATCCTGCGCTCTGTCAGTCCTCAGCCCTGCCAGGCCCTTCTGGCAGCGATTTCTTTTCATTACTTGAATTGGCGTCTGTGTGGTCATGAGCAGACCCTCTGGTTACGGAGTTACTGGGGATCTGTGTTCTGTGTGTAATTCGGGGTGTCCGCCTGTGCCCTTTACTGCACCTTTGGGTCACTGTACAGAAAGTATTTTCCACAGTTTATCATTTGTCTTTTCATTTCATCTGTAGCCTTACTTTGTTTCCTTTTGCACTTCACTGAGTCTTAAGTATCTGTCTTGTCACTCCCGTCGAACGTTCCTTTTAGATTTCTTGCCCTTTTCGCCATAGCTGAGAACACTTAGCTGTGCCCCAAATAATAAAATACATGCTTCCATCTATTCCTCTGTGATTTGTATGGTTCCGTTTACTACCCGTGTCTTTGCTCCATCCGGAAATCATGGTTTTGTGAGACTCATAAAGTAAGATAGTTCTGTCGGTAAACACGGGCAAGGGAGTTACCTTAATAAATGCAATTTGGGAGATAAACTATTTCAAGTCCTAGGGTCCGCAGAGAAAATAATAAGGGTCTGGCCCAAAGTCTAAGGAAAACCCTTTAAAAAGTAAAACTTCATATTTTGAAAATAATTACAGATTCACAGGAAGTCGCGAGGATTGTGTAGAGGAGTCTGGGGCCCCTATCCCTGTTTCCCCCAAGGGGTGCATCGTTCGTAGCTGTGCAGCACGACATCAGAACCCAGCACGGATGGTGACACGCGTGTGTGCAGCTCCGTGTCACATCACGCGGGGGACACGTGCTCCTGCTGCAGAATCGCCCCACCCCCACCCTCGGCAACCAGAGGTCTGTTCTCCAACTCTGTAATTGGGTCATTTCAAAAATCTTGTATCCATTGAATCGCATGGTATGTGACCTTTTAAGATTGGCTGAGAAAACCCCCTTTTCAGGCTCACTTTCATAGTTTTACAGTCAAGGAAGTTGAAGTCCAGAGGTGGTGATTATCCAGAGTATGGATAATCCAGAGTCTCACCCCAGGTAGGGTTGGGGTGCGTGCAGCCCCACACCTGCCTCCCGCCCCATGGCCAGCCCCGCTGTGCCTTCAGACCAGTCTCATTTCCGCCTCATGGATGTAGATTTTATTCATTCCCGTGTACTTCTGCCAGCTTTTTTGCTAACCTTACAAGAAACGAAGGTCCCGCCCTGCGTGGCTCCGATGTTTATTTTTACTCTGTAGCTCGTGAGGCGGTGTCTCCCGAAATGGCAGACGGGAGCAGCTCTGTCTAATAAGATTATCAGCTGCCTCCAGTAATAAGCTGTAGAGAAAATGGCCGCGTATCCCACTGATTTGAATGACCTTAAAAGGACTTTAACAGTGGGCGCCTGGGTGGCTCAGTTGGTTAGGCGACTGCCTTCGGCTCAGGTCATGATCCCGGAGTCCCGGGATCGAGTCCCACATTGGGCTCCCGGCTTGGGGGGGAGCCTGCTTCTCCCTCTGACCCTATCCCCTCTCATGCTGTTTCTCTCTCTCTCTCTCAAATAAAAAATAAAAAATAAAAAAA